GGTCAAGACCATAGATTAGAAGGTCTGCATGAGTCTAAATTAGGGGTGTCAAACTCAAGGCCTCAGGCCGGATCTGGCTTGTGAGGTGCTTAGATTTGGCCCACGGGGCCACCCTGGAAACGGCGAAGGACTGGCCTGCAGTGCCTCTGCCAGCGAAAACAGAGCTTGGGAGCCCATTTTTGCTGGCAGAGTGCTCGGGCCATGAGAGGCGCCCCCAGGACGAGTGACGTCAAACTGGCCATGCCCCCCTGGCCCCCCCAAGGTCAAATACAACCCTGATGCGGCCCTCAATGAAATCGAGTTTGATCCACCTGGTCTAAATCCTTTATATTTTTCTGGATAGTTTCTAATTTTTTCAGCTAAAAATCCTTGTAATTTTTCAACGTCTTACTGACAAGTGTCACACAGTTGGGAAAGATCCCAAGGTATTTAAGCAAAGATGTTTTTAATACTTGGTGGAGTAAATGCAGAATCTTGGAAACCGTAATAAAATTGCCCTAGCCTCCTATACGATGAGTTAATTAAGGTGGAAATTTTTTTTTGAAAGCTTTGAGATGCTTCTTTCCAAATTTCTCTTCACTTGAGCTAAATTGTTATTTATAAGATAAGCTGACAACTGACTCATCTGCGGTCTCTTGTTTACGGCTATCATCTTTTTCATCCCTTTCCACAATCTCCCCATAATCTGTCACAATGACTGCTAGTCCTCAACTTACAACCAAATCATCACAGTTGTAACTCAAGACATCCTGTGACCAGACCCGATTCTATGACCAATTTTACCATGGTCGTAAGGTGAATCACATGGGCGTAAGTGAATCCTGCTTTCCCCACAGGTGTCAGTTTTGAAATGCTGTTAAATCTCAAGGTCTCAAGGCAAAAACCACCTGCACTATCAGAAACACAAAAAATATTGTGCAGGGAATATTTGTCATTAAGGTGTCTAGATTAAAATAGTTGTTTTAATGAGTTTCAGATAGGAATTACCTTTCATGTGCACCAGTGGTGAAATCTGAACCAGTTTGTTACGAGTTTGCTGGCCGCACAAGTGTGCTGCGCGCCAAACACACGCTGCATGTGCATGCATAGTGCACATCCAACGAACACTGTGCGTTTAAAAAGCTTGATTTTAGCGTGAACAGTATGCGCCAAAAGATGGCTTGGGAAGGTAAGTAGAACAGCGAGGGGGGGATCAGCTGTGCCGCGCGGTTTAGCTTCGCTAGAAAGCAGGATTTCCTGCTTTCTAGCAAAGCTAAATCGTGCGGCACAACTGATCGTCGGATCGTAGCTTTTTTTTAAACTGCCGGTTCGCCTGAACTGGTAGCCTTTTTTTACTACTGGTTCACCCGAACTGGTAGTTTTTCTTATTACCAGTTCTCCTGAACCAGAGCGAACCGGTAGCATTTCACCCCGATGTGCACCTAATTTCAGTGGTGGGTTTCCAATTTTTTTACTACCAGTTCTGTGGGCGTGGCTTGGTGGGCATGGCAGGGGAAGGATACTGTAAAATCTCCACCCCACTGAGGGGGAAGGTTACTGCAAAATCCCCATTTCCTCCCGATCAGCTGGGACTCGGGAGGCAGAGAATAGATGGGGGTGGGGCCAGTCAGAGATGGTATTTACCAGTTCTCCGAACTACTCAAAATTTCCGCTACCGGTTCTCCAGAACTGGTCAGAACCTGCTGAAACCCACCTCTGACCTATTGGCTTTTAAACCTGAAGTGTCCTAATCTTCATAATTTTAAAATCTAAGAAAATGGCCTCCCATTTGATAGATCAGCATGATCTATCAAATTAGTATGGTCTATAAATAGCCATGAAGCAATGGATGGAAATTTATTAAGGAGAGAAGCAACTTAGAACTAAGGAGAAATTTCCTGATAGTTAGAACAATTAATCAATGGAACAACTTGTCTTAAATGGTATAGGATTTCTTGCTTGAGCATAGGGGGTGGACTAGAAGACCTCTACGATCCCTTCCAATTCTGTTATTCTGTTATTCTGAAGGTGTATCACGGAACTGGGTCAATTGTTTATATTAGTGAAACAGTGAGTTGATAGGCTCATGCAGATTATGCTAAAATAGTAATAGTGAAAGTGATGATTATACAGTTTTTATTATTTAAAAGAGAGTCCGCTTTTGTGGAACAGCTTGATTGCATTTTAATTATCGGAGCAAGATTACATCTCATATGTTACAGAATATGAGGTTGAGTCAGGTTTGCCATTATTTTATGCAAGCTCTGAAATTTCTACAGAGCTGGGAATTAATAGGACCGTTTTAACCCAATTAAGTACTTGCAGCAGGAATTCCAATCACCTTTTTTGGAGATGGGATCTGGCCTGCATTCAGGGATAGCTCAAATTCATATGACCTTTATTAATTAATACAAACACATTTAATGAGGGACAGTAGAATCCCAGTGAACTAATGGTCTGAAGGACAGGAACTTTCAAAGACATAACAATTAACCCTTAAGGATCTCTTTCAAATATATTCTCTTCCACCCATGGTGATTCCTATACAGCAAAGGTGTCAAATTCAAGGCCCATGGACTGGATTCGGCCTGTGGGGTACTTAAATCTGGCCTGTGTGGTCGGCCTGGAAACAGTAAAGGACTGGTCCTTAGTGCCTCTGGCAGCCAAAGTGTTTTTGGCCTGGATGGCCTCTTGCAGCACTCTGCCTCTGTGGTGAAATTCAATTTTTTTTACTACCGGTTCTGTGGGTGTGGCTTGATGGGTGTGGCAGGGGAAGGATACTGCAAAATCTCCATTTCCACCCCGCTCCAGGGGAAGGATACTGCAAAATCCCCATTCCCACCCCACTCTGGGGCCAGCCAGAGGTGGTATTTGCCAGTTCTCCGAACTTCTCAAAATTTCCAATCCCGGTTCTCCAGAACCTATCAAAACCTGCTGAATTTCACCCCTGTTCTGCCGGCCAAGTGCCTTTATGCCGGTGTTTCTCAACCTTAGCAACTTTAAGCTGTGTGGACTTCAACTCCCAGAATCCCTCAGCCAGCATAGCTGGGGAATTCTGGGAGTTGACGTCCATGCAGCTTAAAGTTGCTAAGGGTGACAAACATTGCTTTATGTTACCTCTTTTATAAGGGTAAGATACACCTTATATAAACAGTGACAACGTTTACTTGGCAAGCTTAAAAATCAGTCACAATGTAGACTTGGTAGATTTTGCAGACAGTGGAAGTGGCATCTGCTAACTCATTTGTTATCACAAATGATCTGGTACTCAACAATGATAGGAAACCGTAATAAAGAATTTCTGTTGCTATTAAATTGGCCAGCTAGGTAACAGACACACCGTATCTTAAATTAGAAACACTTCCATTAAAACTGCATTTATCAGATGAATTGGTGTTATTACTTTGTTGGTATCATCAGCAAAAACACTAAGGTTTTTTTCAGAAGTTACTGGATTTTTTTTTATAATGAATTTCCAATATTTTTTATGATACAGTACATCCTATTTCAATCTCTGCTGTTTAATATATTTCAGGCCAGTGAGTCACTGGAGAGACAAAATAGACACTTATAGGTGTCTGTTATATTTGAGCCCAATTATTCAAACCACCAAAGTTGCCAACACAATACCCAAAGATGTCAGGTGCCATTGAATAAGTAATTGATGTTTGCATCCTCTTCAAACTGTTAAAAAGAATCACATTTTGAAATAATTACCTGAAAGGATGTGACTTGAAAACACAATGGCCACTCATAATAATGCTCAAATGAAACAAACAAAATGTTAAAAAGTTATGAAATTTATGTAGTTCCTTACCAAGCACATCTAAATGATGTTAAAGTAACCAAAATATCTTTACCTCCCAAGGCATGTCACAACTTTGGAGCGTCCCTAATGTTTAGAAATGGAAAGCTGAAAAATTTGACACGCCCTAACATTGCTCATTGAGTATAATGATAAAATAATATTAATAGTGGTTCAGTTGAGTGCAATTGGGCAACAATTCTCAGAAACACCGAATCTCTTTTCCTGTATGGTGCAATGAGGGTTTTTAAAATGAACAATTAGCTTAGCCCTTGGATGAAACACGGCATATTCAGAATCACAAGCACTGAATTTTACAGTCCAAGAAAAGAAATTGTAAGAAAAAAAAACCCTGCAAAAGAAATAATTACAGTGTGAAAATGGGCAATGAAAAATACCTGCTTTAACTCTCCACTTCCCTATATACCCGTACTTTTCAGAGTATAAGACGCACTTCCCCCCCCTCCCCAAAAGAGGGTGGAAATGTTGGTCTGTCTTATACAGTGAATACAGCCATTTTTGGCCTCCTGAAACCCCGCCTCGCGCATCCCGTTTTCACCAAAAACAGGTCTGTTTTTAGCAAAAATAGGATGCGCAGAGGGTTTCAGAGGTCTGTAGAGTGCTCCTGGGGACTCCATTCCTGTTTTTGCCCTCCCCAGACCCCAGGAGCACTCTGCAGGCTTCCCAAACCCTCTGCACACCCGGTTTTCATGAAAAACGGGCCCGTTTTTGGCCTCCCAAACCCCCCATGCATTGCGTTTTTCCCCCTCCCCAGCCCCCAGGAGCACTCTGCAAGCCTCCCAAAACCTCTGTGCATCCCATTTTTGCAAAAAAGGGCCCGTTTTTCACAAAAACAGGACGTGCAGAAGGTTTGGGAGGCCTGCAGAGTGCTCCTAGGGGCCGGGGAGGACAAAAACTTTTTTTTTCTTGTTTTCCTCTTCAAAATCGTGGTGCGTCTTATACTCCAGTGCATCTTATAATCCGAAAAATACAGTATAGGTTCAACATTATTCATTTTTAAAACATGTTTACATCTCTTCTAGGAATCTCTGCCAACAGGAAGAATTACAGTATTAAAATGTCAGTGCTGGTTAACCATCAAATTGCTTTCCCAGCCTTCCTTCAGATAACAATTTATAAGATAGACCTGCAGTAGAGAACTTTACGAAGAAGGAAAAATTAAAAAAAAGAATTTAAAAACAAGCCAAATGCCTACCGTTTCATCTTCAAGTTTCAGGCGGAGAGTTTTATCCCCTTCTTTGTAATCTCTGATGATTTCACCTGATTTCCAGACTTCTTCTGGGTCAGGAATCCAAACTCTTGTATACTGCAATGGGAGAAAAATAAGAGAAAATGTAAAATAATAAGTTGAGCACCAGGAAATGAACACAGGCCAACAAAGGAAATACAGATAGTCCTCGACTTATGACAAGTGAGCCCAAAATGTCTGTTGCTAAACGAGACATTTGGTAAGTGAACTTTACCCCAGTTTATGACCTTTCTTGACACATTTGTTAAGTAAATCACTGCAGTTGTTAAGTTAGTAACATGGTTGTTAAGTGAATCTGGCTCCCCCATTGTCTTTGCTTGTCAAGAAGGTTGCAAAAGGGAATCACATGACACCAGGGCACTGCAACCCTGGTCATAAATATGAGATAGTAGTCAAGCGTCTGAATTTTGATCACATGACCACTGGGATGCCACAACAGTCGTTAAGTGTGAAAGGTGATCATAAGTCACTTTTTTCAGTGCCATTGTAACTTCGAATGGTCACTGAATGAATTGTTGTAAATTGAGGACTACCTGTAACTGTCGATTCCTGAACCCTAACTTTAATGTACCCCAGCCTAGTGCCTATGGGGAAAAGGGCCCCCCACATAAAATAATTTAATATTGTCATTCAAAGTATATATTATTCTCAATATAGACTTTTTTAGGATTTCCAGGCTACTGGTAAGTTAATTCAACGCTAGGTTAGCAAACATCCCCACTCTATATCAGTGGCAAAATCCAATTTTTTTTACTACCTGTTCTGTGGGCGTGGCTTGGTGGGCGTGGTGTGGCTTGGTGGGCGTGGCTTGGTGGGTGTGACAGGGGAAGGATACTGCAAAATCCCCATTCCCTCCCCACTCCTGGAGGAAGGATATTGCAAAATCTCCATTCCCACTCCACTCTGGGGCCAGCCAGAGGTGGTATTTGCCGGTTCTCTGAACTACTCAAAATTTCTGCTACCAGTTCTCCAGAACCTGTTAGAACCTGCTGGATTTCACCCCTGCTCTATATGGCAGAAGATACCGGTAGTTGGAGCAGTAGGAATTCTGTAACATTAATCAAACTATCCAAATTTATTGCAAGGAAGCTATTTTAATAAAGCCGTGGTTAGATAATATTATAATAATAATGACAAAAGTATATGGATCCGCTGTATCGGCAGACAGCAAAATAGAAGACAAAGGGAAAAGATGACAAAGTACAAAGACCTGCAAATAGAAATAGAACAACTGTGGCAAAAGAAAGCAAAGGTTGTATCACTTGTCATAGGAGCCTTGGGTGCAATCCCAAAACATTTGGAGCACCACTTGAACATCATCGGCAGCATTGACAAATTCACCCATCAATTGCAAAAGGCAGTTTTACTTGGAACAGCTTACATCCTGTGACAACATCTTTAATACAATCAAACAAACACATCCACCTATCCCAGGTCCTCGGGAAGGACTCAATAGGTAGACAAAAATGCCAAATCCAGTCTAAACATCTTGGCTGACTGTATAACCAACAATAATAACCTTGCCCATCATATGGAACGTTCTCCTCCCCATTAAGTCAGACCGAATCCATCTTTCTAACCATTCTGAAAGTCCTTCAAGATCTGGTTGTGCCATGAGGCCTGAAGGCCTCAGGGAACCAACGATGTTCTTGGATGAAATACAGAAAAACAGAATAACAGAATTGGAAGGGACCTTGGAGGTCTTCTAATCCAACATCCTGCTCAAGCAGGAGACCCTATACCATTTCAGACAAATGGCTGTCCAGTCTCTTAAAGGTCTCCAATGGTGGAGCAGCAACCACAACTTCTAAAGGCAAGCTTTTCCACTGGTTGATTGTTCTCACTGTCGGGATAGTTTTCCTTAGTTCTTTCCTTCGCTCCTTGGTTAGTTTGCATCCATTGCTTCTTGTCCTGCCCTCAGGTGCTTTGGAGAATAGATTGACCCCCCTCTTCTTTGTGGCAGCCCCTTAGATACTGGAACACTGCTATCATGTCTCCCCTAATCCTTCTTTTCATTTAACTAGACATACTCAATTCCTGCAACTGTTCTTCAGATGTTTTAGCCTCTAGTTCTCTAATAACCTTGGTTGCTCTTCTCTGCACTTTTTCCAAACATCTTTTATATATTGTGGTGGCCAAAACTAGATGCCATATTCCAAATGTGGTCTTACCAAGGCATTATAAGGTGGTAATGGCTTCATTGTAGTTAATTGTTTCTTCTCTTCGGGTGGTTTCTATATTTTTAGTATTTTGTGTGTTAATTATTTATTGCCTTTACTGATCGTTGTACACTGCCCAGAGTCACTTTTTGTGAGATGGACAGCCATGTAAATGTGAGGAATAAAGAAAATAAATAAATGTTCCTGAAAAATAATGAGAGGCAAGAGGGAAAGAATCGGAGAAGAGAACTAAGCTGCTATGACAACTTGAATCAATACTTCCAAGCTCTTGAGATGCTGTTAATGCTCTTACTTCTAATTATACAAGGAAAAATTGCCATGAAAGAATCTTGACATTTATAGCTCACACTGGGCTCATTTAATTCCCACACATAACCGTTTACCTTCTGTGGCTCCAGATCCAGAACGCAACCCTGGTGGGTATCACATTTTGAAAGACTAAGAACCATGAACTTTTAAAATAAATCAACAATGAAGTTATTAATTTTTACCATGAGAGGCTGAAAATCTAAATCTGACAATAAGTAGGCAACTCGTTTATTTTTTAATGTGCTTTTGGCTTAAAAGTGACTTAGAAATTGATTATTGTGGGTTTATACAACAGGGATGTGGTGGCTCAGTGGCTAAGACGCTGAGCTTGTTGATCGAAAGGTCGGCAGTTCAGTGGTTCGAATCCCTAGTGCCGTGTAATGGGGTGAGCTCCTGTTATTTGTCTCAGCTTCTGCCAATCTAGCAGTTCGAAAGCACATAAAAAAGGCAAGTAGAAAAATAGGGACCCCCTTTGGTGGGAAGGTAACAGCGTTCCGTGTGCCTTTGGCATTTAGTCATGCCAGCCACATGACCACGGAGACTCTCGTCTTCGGACAGCGCTGGCTCTTCGGCTTTGAAACGGAGATGAGCACTGCCTCCTAGAGTCAGGAACGACTAGCACTTATGAGCGAGGGGAACCTTTACCTTTACCTTACTACCGGTAGTTCTTGACATATGACCATAATGGAGCATGCCTATTATAGTCATATATCAAGACAGTCATGAAACAGGTTAATCGTATGACCAACCGGATTTTTTTTTTTTTTTTAATTTGATTTATATGTCGCCCTTCTCCGGAGACTCAGGGCGGCTTACAATGTGCTCAGCAATAGCCTTCATCCTTTTTGTATATTTATACAAAGTCAGCTTATTGCCCCCACAACTGGGTCCTCAATTTACCTACCTTAGAAAGGATGGAAGGCTGAGTCAACCTTGAGCCTGGCGAGATTCGAACCTGCTGTAATTGCAGGCAGCTGGTCTTAATAACAGGGTGCTTTAGACCACTGTACTACCAAGGCTCCTTTTTGGTTTTTCTCTGGTGGTCATTAGGTGAAAGCCATAGTCGTTAAGCAAACCGATGGTTCACTATGAGCATGACTTTGCCAAAAATCAGAAGTGCAAGTTACATGACTTTGGAGAGGGTCCTACTGTTGGACCTTTCAATCTGAGTCATAAGTCTCCTTTTCTCACATTGGTTGTAACTTCAGTCTCTAAGCAACTGGTTATAAATCAAGGACTACCTATGGTATATGTGCAAATCAGATTGTTAGATTGATTCATCAAATCAAGATTATTGTGGCTTTGGGTGAACCCAAGGAATGTCTGATAGACTGTAGTTAGTGAGATCTTGAAAATGCAGCCAGCCCTCGACTTAGTTCGTTTAACAATGGTTCGAAATTACGACAGCCTCAGCCTCAACCCACTTTACAACGTACAACTTTCTACTCCGGGAAGCAGAACTGAAGAATTGGCAAGCTCTGAGTTTCTACATGTGCTTAATCATAGAGTGATCATCTGGAAATTGCTATGACTGTTGGATGGGATGCCAAGCAGTAGCATTCCAGGGTTATTGTTGTTGTTGTTTTTTAAGTCTTATTAGACAAATCTGCCTTCTTTCCTGCAAAAGCAAATTTTGCCATCCCCTTTTCCCAGCATTAAATGGAAAAATAGAAAGTGTACATTATAGCTACAGTACTTTCTTTACAGCTGATTTTCGGACTGCTTACAGGTCGTCCCTTAGTAACTGTACAAATAGTCCTGAACTTACAACCATTCATTTAATGACTGTTAGAAGTTACAGCAGCGCTGAAAAAAACTGACTTATAACTGATTTTCACATGACTGTTGTATCATTTCTCCTTGGTCACATGATCAAAATTCAGAGGCTTAGCAACTGGCATGTATTTTATTTATTTATTTATTTATTATCAAATTTATAGGCCGCCCTTCTCCCGAAGGACTCAGGGCGGTGTACAGCCAGAGTAAAAAACATAGATACAAACATTAAAAACAATTTAAAAAGATATATATATAAATTTGGCCCCAAAGTTAAAAAAACAGTAACAAACATATTAAAAACATTTAAAAAGCATTAAGCCAGCCCAGCTTGCTAAAAAAAGGAAGGTCTTCAGGGCACGGCGGAAGGCACCGAGGTCTTGAATTCTTCGTATCTCTGGGGGCAGTTGATTCCAGAGAGCAGGTGCCGCTACAGAGAAGGCCCTCCCCCTGGGGGCCACCAGTCTACATTGCTTGGCCGATGGCACCCTGAGGAGGCCCTCTCTGTGGGAGCGCACCGGTTGGTGGGAGGTCGTTGATGACGGTTGCACTGTCCTTGGGTCATGTGACCGCCATTTCTAACCATGCCAGTCGGCTTCTGACAAACAAAGTCATGGGGGAAGCCAGATTCACTTAATGGCCACTTGCTTCACTTAACAACTGCAGAGATTCGCTTGACTGTGGCAAAAAGTTCATAATCCAGGGCAAAACTCACTTAACAACGGTCTTGTTTAAAACGGAAATTTGGGGCTCCACTGTGGTTGTAAGTCAAGGACTACCTGTACAAAATTC